GATTCTGGTGGCCCGTTGTCCCATCTATTCCCCCTGCATTTACCCCATGAGGTTTTTGCTGCCTTAAGAGCAGTTAGGTGATGAACCATGGTCACTTACCTCTGGTGCTCTCCTGATGAAGCAGGTTGTTGATTTACAAATGTAAACATATTCAGTTGTCTTCACCCCCACTGGATTGTTAACATTGGTTGCATAGATGTATCTGGATATTCAATGATTTTTGTATGCAAGGTTAAGTTAATGTAGTTGATGCAGCTGGAAGGATTGGAAGGTGGAGGTGAAGCATTAAAGGGTTAAGTATGTGGAATGTGGGCAGGTCATTGACATCTTTATGTACAATACAGGATTGCTACAAATGGTTAAGCAATGAAAAAGAGTATCTTCAGGGGACTGGTCGTACAGAGAGAAAAAACTGCAAGAACGAGGAGTAACCTTCACCTCATTCCTTACACCATAAATAAAATTAGCATTTTACCCTTGCATTGCATTGGGGAACCCATTGTAAGGATAATTTTTAGAGATACCCAGACTTCTGCTTTATTTTATGTTAGACATTATGTAAATATATGAACCTTGCATAATTTTGTCAAATATATCAAACTTTTTCAGTCGTGGTTTTCAACTGGTGGGTCGTGACCCCAAATTGGCTAGCAATTGTGGAATCCTGACTACAGAGAGCCAGACCTCCTGCCCCATTCAGCAGGGAAACAGAGAGGGGCAGTGTGCAGGAGACTCCTATGTGTAGTGAAACAGTCCCCTATCTCCCTGGGCCCCCCAGACCCCCTGCTGAAGTGAAAGGGCCTGGGGTGAATGGGGGCTATTTCATCAATTTCAGACCACAGAGTAATATCTGGGACCATGGCAAATCCATTCAGGATGGATAGCCAGAGCAGACCGAGGAGCGGTAATCCCCGATCTGCTCTGTGTGATCAGTAAGACAGGGTGATCAGAGTGCTTCCTGTCCCAGCTGTCACAAACCTGGCTACACAGGTAATCACAGGTAATCAAGCACAATTCTATGCTTTATCACCTGTGTCAGGAAGCCGGAGCCAGGATTCTTTCATCGCCGTTTGTGCATGCGCATGGTGCAGTTAATAGGGTTGTGTCAGGTGCAGCGACTCTGCGTAAACGTGTGCGTCACACGCACGTTCACGCGCGCGAGGGAGCGGGCGTGCGCCGACGTGTTGTTTGAGTTTTTGGCGCCCTCTGGGCTATATAAGACTGTGACTAACAAACCTCCTTTGCTGTCAGATCGTCAGCTTCCCTGTGTTCCTTTATCCTGCTCCTGAAGTGTTCCTGTTATCTTAACCCGGCTTGGCTTGACCTTTCTGCTTCTCTCCAGTGATTGACCCTCGGCTTGTTCCAGACCATCCTCCTGCCTCATCCTCTGTACCTCGCTGCCTGCACGTTGATGACCTCGGCCTGTCCTGACTATCCTGTTATTCTTGTCTGCTGCTCCTGCTCATCAAATTCAGCTACTACTGGCACTCCTGCCCCTCTGTGCCCCGGTGCTCCTGTACCCATTCAGGACCCCCAAGACCAAGGAAGTGAGAGAGGCCGCCCTCGACATCTAAGGTACGTGACACCTGTGTTGAAGTGCAGGGGAGCTATTGGGGTCTGATAGACCCCAGATTTCTCCATAAAGCGAACAAGTCACTTCCATATGCTATCACATAGTGATAGCAATAAAAAAAGTAAAAAATAAAATAAAAGTGATACAAATAACAAAATAAATAAGAAAAACAACCCCGCTGTGCCTGACATCTGCATGTGAATAAATACACGTGTGTGGGACAGGCATGTGTACGTAAATGATGATTGCACTACACATGGTAGGTATCAAAACTATATTTGGGTCACGCAGCATGAAGCCCTTGAATTGATATCCACAAGGCTGATTGTTTGGGTTTTTGTGTTGCCCTAGGATCTGAGATAAGGGACACAAGGGATCAGTGCATAGGAATAAAGAAATGGGACAGGTAGGTACATTATTTGAGTCCATTTTCAGTAGTTGGCTATTTTATTTTACCCAAAGTTGTAAATGTAGCCTTAGTAATAAAAAAAGAACTGGGACATCATCTTAAATTTTGCATAGCAATAACATTAAGTGGGAAAAAAATTAAAAGTGATGAAAAATGATAAAATAAATAATTTAAAAAAAATTAAACCAACCCCAGTGCCCCGACATCTGCATGTGAATAAACACTCACGCATAGGCCATGCCTGTGTACATAAACAATGATTGTGTCACACGTTAGGTATCACCACGAACACAAAATTATTTTTGAGTCACTGACCAAGGACAAATGTGGGTTCTGAAGTTACATAGGTTGAGAACCACTGTTCTATGGTATATTACATCAGTCACACGTTTTAACTTCAATTGAGTAGTAAAATGAACATGACATGATTGTTTTTCTTATGTTTTTGCCCTTATAATGTACAATTGTACATGTCTCTATAAATATTCACTTCTTTAGCTTTTTAGTTACCTAAAAAAGGCAATATTTGAAATGATTCTTGATTTAAGAAAGAATTTTACGGTGTAATTTTAAAGAAAAAAGATAAGCAGCAGTGAATTAAAAATCAACACTACTTTACTTCTTCACAAGTGTACAAAAAAGAAAAGAAAAGATATGGGTTTACATTCAACAGTTAAAGTCAACTATAACTGATAGTAGAGTTTGCATTCACATACACAAGCACAGAATAAATATGTTGGATCTTCATAGGAGCATAGGGCATAATTACTTATTTTTAACATCAGTGTACATAAGATCACCAGTTCATCTTCTTCTTCTAGTAAGAAATTTAAAAATGAAACCTAAACCCATGTGCCAGAGTCAATAACACACAATACATTGCAATGGCACTATATGAGTAGGTCATCTGAAGAGGAGGAATCATTGGGTCTACTACGAAGTCCAGATGATTTCCAGAAGTGTCATTGTACTTTGAGTGCACATTTAAGTCATTTGTGTTCTCATTTACAAAGAATTATTTAACACATGCAGCAGCTGAACACATTGTGAAGTGACAATAGCTGTGTTTACTGGGTGAGCAGTACAATAGATGATTCAGGCAGCTTATTAAATGTGATTACAAAGCAGCAGTTCCAGTTACCAAATAGTTTGCAGTATCCTGCTTGAGAATGTTGGGTAAAAGAACCACTAAATCTTATCAAGTCACACTATAAGAAAAAAAATACTTAGATAATTCAGATATATGCAACATACAGTAGATATGACATTTTCAGTTACTTTTTTTTAGGAATTTTCATTTGACTGTGAGGGAAGCCTTATTTTCTGTTCAGTATACCTTTACCAGATGTAACAAGGTTCTTAGGTTATGAGAGCTGGATAGAACTCTTGTAAGTCTGAGCTGTTACACAAAATGGTTGTATCTATAACCAAAGACGTTTGGTGTTAAAACACTAGAAGCTGGCTAGGTGAGGTAACTCCGTCTGTGCATGTGTTCATTTTTAATAACATTGAAAGGTGCATGTAACATGTACCCAGTCTCTCACTGTCTTCTACGGCATGTCTCTAGTCTCCAACCAAACATATAGCATGTTCATGGTCCCTGAACATCATTTACATATGACTACAGCCTCTAAAAGTCTTCTCCAGCATTACATACTCTGAACATAATATGCAGCCCTTTGGTGATGTCAGAAGCCACAGTTGAGGCCCCCTATAACTTGCATGCTAAAAAAACAGTGCTGTAGTGGGTCTAGCTGTGGGGCCTGCTGGAGACAAGTAAAGCATATAATATCTATGAATGAAGTTTTGACATAATCTAATAAATAGTCTAATAAATATATTGCATGTCACTGAAGTGAGCCTACGAATAACAGTTACACTACCAGCATACATAGATCATATTTAGAATTATGAGTTTAAGGGCATGAGGCATTTTATATTATCTGCTGTGAAAGTTACAAAATTATACTAATACTATATTAAATTACATATAATAATAAACTTGTATTCCCGTTTAGTGGCCCTTTTAAGTGGTGCAACTTCTATATGAAGACAGAAACCAATCTGTAATAGGTGTAAATGATCTGACTTGCATCATACTTTTTAAGACTATGATTGGTTGTCATAGCATGCAGCATGGAGCCCTTGCATTGAATTGCCTCATTTGCAATTCATCAGGAAAATTACCAGCAAGGTACATTTAAATTATGTGTATAAAATATACACTATATTATTCTAACATACATATATTTTTTCAAGATATATTTTATATGTCTTAGAGGGTCATAGCACTTTCATAGATATCCACAAGGCTGATTTGTTTTTGTTTTTGTTGCTCTAGGATCTGAGATAAGACACAATGGATCAGTGCATAGGAATAAAGAAACGGGACTGGTAGGCGAGTTAAATTAGTTCAGTTTTAGTAATTGGCTATTTTATTTGACCCAATCTTGTAAATGTAGCCATATATACAGGTGGTAGTTCCTTCAACTGCAAAAATGCAGATGCCACCATGGACTGCCTGGTAATAATTGTTCTTGCAGACCGCTGGGTAAATAGTCACAATGGAAGTCACCCATAGTTCTACCATGATGCAGTGCTGTGGAGTAGGAACCAGGATGTGCTCAATTTCGGATAACTATTGGCTTGCATCTATAATAAAATGTCAAATAAATAATTTAAAGGGGTGTCAGCTGTAAGTTAGCAAAAAGTGGCCATCTTCCCATACAAGCAACAATGGGCCATTTGTTTGCTGTTTACATATTTCCTGTGGTCTAAAACAGTACATTCAGATAAACTAGTGATCATAGAGTCCCATTATATCTGAATGAATAAAATGAAATAACAAGATGTACATTTAGAAGTGCTGCAGGTAAATTCTGACAAACTGATATGGATGTTGTCACACTGAAAAATGTAGACAATGAGCCTCCTTGTTGGTTCTGGGAGTGACCCCCAAAGCAGGTATTTAGGGGGGTGGTTTAGGGTGTTATAAATACAACTATTAAGCATCATTTTTTTAGATAAATACTCTGCAATGTCTTTTTTTTTCCTATTTTCCTTTGAACACTATATAGTATAATGCACCCTGATTATAATTTTCCTTAAAATACACCGCAATATTATGATTGCCTATTGTTTTGAAGAGAATATATATCATCACATATATGCACTCTTCAAAAAAGTATGTAAGAATGTATTTACATGTGAACTGTTTATAAAAACAACTTTTTTTTCTTTTTGTTTTCTTATTTTGTATGTATATATTTGTGGTTTGTTATTTTTCAGAAGTGAGTACATTTACAACAACAGATGGTGGGAACAGAAATAAACAAGTTATTTACTATCTTGATTCCTGAGGAATTAGCTTGCATTTTGATTTTGCTCAATGCATTTAAATGTTGTCAAGAGCCTGATAAAACGTAATAGATACCTTGCTGATTGTTGGTATATATAAATCAATATACATATCAATATACTAAGTATGAAATCTAGATTAATTCTAAAGAAATTCTATTTATTTCCTGTGGTTAGAGTAGATTGATTATGGGTGTTTTGTCCCCAGAAAATATTTGTTTCTCCACTTTCATACTTTATTTCTGCTCAGAAATATGGTGTAAATTTATATGTGCATCTTGTCCTATGAGTGGTTCAATATAGCGTGTTTTTCGGTGCATTACACTTTATTTACAAAGATATACCTTAAAGTGTACTTGCCACCAGTATCAAGTGGAGACTTCCATCTTGTGGCTGGATATATATTAATATTCAGAAAATGCAGCCAATCAGGAATCAGGAACTAGAGGTATCCCAGAAAAATAAAATAACTGGTGGAACAGTTTTGTCAGTAATTCCGGATGAGCTGAATACGACTTTCACCCATAAAATGAATTTCTCCTCTAAGTACTGGCAACAGCAACACTTCAACAGTCACTTACTTTATTATATGCACAACCTGCATTTGCATTCTTTGGATGTGAGAGACAACCGCTGGATACTATATGACTAAAGATTTAACATTATAAAGCATTAAAGACACAATCTGATAAATTATATTGACAAACTGTATAGATTCTCAGGCTTAAATGATGAAGTCTTTTTGTTCATTGGAAGGTGCATTAACAATAGGAAGATTCTTACGAGTTGCTACATTATGTCTTACAAAAAAATGGGGGAATAATTGGCTTCAGTATCCTCTCATTGATCATTGTTATCAGCTGCGTTATTATTTGCTTTCTCTTGATTCTTATTCCCCTTCTTCTTTTTCTTTTTCTTCTTTGTTTCTTCCTTTTTGCCAAAGGTTATAAAGTTACTTTTATGAGCTTGAGCGGATGGCTGATCCTGGCGGATTGAAATGATGGCTGGGGATCCTGGGATAATAAAATTCTCTGGAAAATCGGGTGGTATTTGTGGTACTTGTTGTTTTTGATTGCCAGGTCCATATTTGAAGGTCCAGCTGTTGCAGTTCACACCAGCTCCTACTGGGGGAGACACTTCTCCTCCTTCGGGAACTGTAAAGTTAAAGACATACATGATTACTTAAAGAATAATAATTAATATTAAACTAATAATGGTATCAGCCATAATTACATATCCCTTTATTTTGATGGAATTCCCTTTATATACACATGTATCTTTTAGGTGAAGATCCTCAACATCTAGATTGGGTAAACAGTTGCTGCCAAAGCAAAAATACAGTAGCTGAGGAATAGAAAGAAGTAAACTTGGTGAAGATATTGTCTCTTGTGGTATAGCACCTTGATTTTTCTGTGAGGAATGGTAATTTATTTTAGATATGTTCATCATCACAATCTACTGATTTTAGGTTAGTTTTCATTTTTATAACTAGGGTTTCGGGGGGTTGAGTCCAAGTACTGTGTTTATGATTAGACCTCAGATATAGGGCTTCCAGATCTGTACTATCTAGATAATGAGTGCATACTTAGCTGAAACAAAAATCCAGTCTGTTGTTAGAGATTGTTATTCCCTATTGGGAAACATCATCTTGCCTCTTGCACAACAAACCAAAGGTGAAACCAATCTGTCAGTTGTAGCTCCTTATCTTTCGGTGGTAGGTATGTGCCACTCATTTCTGCAAGGCAGTAAGCACAAATCAGTGTGTCTGGTAGTAGAAGACAAGGGATGGAGATAAAGTCTGAGCTACTGTCGTTTGATAGAATCTCACTAAAAGCATAGGCTGTGCATTTTGGGGACAGAATGAGTGTGTTTAAAAAAAGATGAGGAAACATTTTGTGACAGTACTACTGTCTGCATGTTTAGACAATGTAGAAGATCTTGTAAAGTGGTATGGGTGCTTTTATGTTAAAGGTACTTTATAAGATAGGGACAGGTAAGGGAGCATTAGGACTTTAGATGAAGTAGATGTAAAACATAACTCAATGACATTTATTTTGCTAAAGCACTGTAAGGGTTATTCACAAAGCTGCCATTGACAGCCGAGTGAATAACCGACTCGAAGTGAAGTGAGCCGAACTCTGTTCGGGTACTTACTTCAGGCTTTTACAGCTGATTTCAGCTTGCTTCGGCTGGCTTTGGGTTGGCCGAACATGCTGAGCATGTTCGGCCAACCCGAAGTGCAGAAGGAGTTTGACATCTGGATCGGCTGTGCCAAACCTCCGGCAGGCTACTCGCTGCTGCTCTGCCTATTCTCATAGGGGCCAAGCAGCAGTCAGTAAATAGTCGAATGCCGCCAAGCGGCATTCGGCTCGGCTATTCTGCTCTGTACCTCCGTGGTACCTAGCAGAATAGAAATACAGTTCAAAAAAGTTCAAAATAATAGAAAACGATTGGGCGGAGCTAGCAGTGACATCTAGCTCAGCCCAACTGTTTTCTATTGGCCAGGACCAGCTGTCATTACAATGAGAGCTCGGCAGAGCCGGCGGTGATATCAAAGCCGGTTCCGCTAAGCTCTCATTGTAATGACAGATCAGCGTCCCCTGGTTACCAAGTAACCAGGGAACACTGAACTGTCATTGCAAGTGGCCAGCTACGTCCAGCTGTCAATAGCAGACTATTACCTCGGCTCAGTCGCGCCGAAGCATATGCCTTCGGCTTGACTGAGCTATTCGGCCAACTTCGGGAGCTGTACGGGCTATAGTGAATAGCCCGTACAGCAGCCCTTCGGTTCTACTGAACCGTTGGGCTCAGTCGGCCGAAGCTAGCTGAAGGATCAGCCGGAGCTATGGCTGATCCTTTGGCTAGCTTTATGAATAACCCCCTGTGTATCATAAGCCATTGTCATCTATTTACATAAAATACTTATCATCACCTTTTTCACCCTGTGTTGTATCTTAGCACAACTAATCTCCTGCAGTCTATTGACAGCCACATCCTGTCTGCATGCAGTCCAGCATGCATGGCATTTTTCAAGGCTGATTTCCTGATGGTCTGCATAATGTGTGTTGAAATGGTCACTTATAGTCACCATCAGAATCCTGTGTGACAGTGACTGTGTAGGAATGCAATAGGTTGATGGGGGGCAGAGTTTTTACACTAGAACAGTAAAGCTTGAACAAGGGTCTCTAATAGTAAAATCACCAGGTACTATATTGAATGAATGATGCAGATTTAGAAATATTTTATCAATCGTGTTTAAATCCGATTTACTTTGTTCTTGGTACCATAAGTGCTAGGACAAAAACGACCATGCCTACAGGTACTGAATATGGTGTCATCATCATTCCAGCTAATGGTTCATGCCCCTGAAAGGACAGCTGAGACTTTTTCAGACAGGTGAGGTGGTTTTAAAGATATACTAAAGGTGATAGAGTGTGCATATTCCAGAGACACAACCAAATAATTAACCTTAAAGCATTTCTAACCCACCCAAAAAAAAATATATACAACAGCGTATCAGTCCTTAGACGTGGTGGCTGCAGCTGTTTTCTTGTTTAATTTTTTTCCCTTCATTTCCCAGCCAGTAACACACTTCCTGTCTTAGGATGATTCCACTCTATGGAGAAGAAAGGTAGCCACCCTTGGACAGTTGCATTGCCAACATGAGGAGAGGGTAAAGTAGATGCACTAGTAGATTTAGATGTTAGACTTTACTAACAAATGAAATCCTAGCACTTTATAAACATTTGTGGAACAGTTTTTCCTTTTGGGATACACACACATAAATAGAAGCCGACCATTGTAAGCACCACTATCAGTGCTAAATGGTTTGTTGCAACATTGTATCTAACACTTTTGCTGGACAGCTTTGGTCTGGTAAAAGAAGTTAAAAAATAACACTTATTGGCTGGATCACCTGGTGAAAATAAACAAAAACATTGTAAAGAAAGAAAACTAATGCAGCCACCACATCCAAGGATTGGTAAACTGCAATATATTATATTTTTGCTTCTGTGTTTAGATATGCTTTTTAAGCATTTGTTTATTTTATTATGAATAATATTTAATGCCACTTGTTATCTGTATTGCACAGATCATACTTTAACATAACATGACCTAAAGTTATAGTAAATGCTAATTGCAGTAATCCAAAAAGACCAAATGTAACTTTACTGATCTAATTTCAGTAATTTGATTCTTTTTATTACAGGTTCCAGCTATATAGATATAGATATATCTATATAGATATATCTATATCTATATAGATATATCTATATAGATATATTCCCAAGTGTCATTTTCTATATGTTTTGTAAAAGGTCAGATTTTTAGACTAGTAGAAATAGTCATACATGCGTTTAGTTGCCTACATGAGAGACATTTTCACTATCTAGACTGGAAGAGTTTTCCGTGACTTTCATTGCTTCCAGTGGCCAGCTGAGGCAGTGTTTCCCTTTAGAACTCACACAAAATATAAAAGCCAATGCAAAATGAAATCATTTGCAGAAATTACCATTGATTTAGATGCAAACATGTAGAAAATACAAGTAAATGCTTTATTAGTCATACTGCCACTGTATTTAGTAAGATTACAGTTGCAGGACAGCCAATCTGTGCCAGAGATATTTTGTTTCTAACAGAAACTAACGACAGCTTGCTAAATAAACTGATTTTCCCCAGCAAGCACATATGGTTGACAAATGAAGTCACAAATCACAGTAATTAATATTATTATGTAATGATTTTGCAAAAGCAAGGCATGGTAAACTGTTATTTTTCCAGTAACAGTAAAAGAGGGCATTGCAAATCCTAATCCTAAACACACAGAGTTAACCAGATTTGCTTATGAGCTGAGCTTTATCTGCCCTTTTCAGGAAATTAAACTTCTGTCTGGTTTACCACAGGACATTACAGATCTTTATCTGTAAATTGAAGCGGTGTGTGTAGTGTCTGCACATCTGATTCTCACAGGTATAATACAGTTCTTGTCAAAACATATTAGTATTATAATGGCGTTAATAATATTTAAAAGGTAATGCAATATCTTAGAACAACCTGTTTCACAAAATAAAGAATGTTTTCCTTTTATGTGGATTACTTTTATGAAAATGTTGCAGATGAAAGTATAAAGATGCCAAAGACATAATTATAGGCCCATTATACCATATAACTGCCGTTGGGCTCAGCATAGATGGTTCATTAATGACTTCCCATTGTATAAATGCCTAATAGTTTACCTAGGCAAAATGAGATTAGGCACAAACTAAAATATATAATCTTCAAATTTGCAATTATTTTATTGCATGCCCATAAGGGGCTTGTCAGAAACTAGGGATATCTATACTGTATTAGATGGAATGTACTTTCCCCAACTGCCTGCAGGATAACAAGTCTGGCCACATGTACTCCAGCTCTGTGATTGGTCCATGACACATAAAGTGTCTGAATAGTTTGTTCTTGTTGCTGCTACTTATGCTATATTCATGGATTTCTCTACTGTCTGCTGCCTACCCTGACCTTTGCTACATTTACAGATACCTCTATTATCTGCCGTCTGCCCTGACCTTTGCTACATTAAAGGTTCACTCTCAGTCTGCCACCAGTCCTGACCTTTGCTCCATTATCAGATTACGCCTTCTGTCTGCCATCAGTCAATGCTCAACATGTTTCTACCATCTTGTTTCCTCTATCAACTGGGCAAATGGAACTTCCAAATCGGCTAAGGCGGCCCGTTTTCTTTATATGTTGCGCAACAATTTCATGGATCAGATGGTTGAGGTCTCCACCAGGGAAAATGCAATCCTAGATCTGATTATCACCAACAATACGGAGTTAATTGAGGACGTTGTAATCGGGGAGACACTGGGTAATAGTGATCACAAGGTGATTGCTTTCAATATTGGTTGCCAGAAAGGGGAGGGGCGGACGAGAAGCCTAAACTTCAGGAAGGCGAACTTTGAAAAACTATGCAATATAGTGGGTGAAATCCATTGGGAAAACTTATTTGATAAACTAAACTTTGACCAGAAGTGGGACTGTTTCAAGAACAAGTTAAAAAAATGCTATTTGGTATATATACCAGGTGTATACCGCTGGGGAACAAAAGTAAAAGATCAAAAACAAAGCCAATATGGCTAAGTAATTCGGTAAAGAA